CTGGTGGCGCAATTGGCGGTGCTGAGCAAATTTCAATGGCGACCGGCGCGCGCGTTTCGTTGCAAATCCCAGGGTGGCCCCACGGCGGTCGAGCAATTCGCTTAATAAAGGCTTGCTTGGCACCTGAACCCACCGGCTGGTTGGCACCTACACCGCCGGCTGTCTCCGGTTGAACAACGATCTTTTGCGGGCCGGTTTCTCCGTAGACTCTTGCCCTAAACCCTCTCGTCAGGGGCCCGCGTCGGCGTCAATATATCCCCACGTTGCGCCAATAGCGAGATACCCTTTAACTTCGCGCTCGGCCGGAACTTCGCTCGATCTCTCGCTCGTTCCGACCTTCCGCTCGCCTCTCGAACTTGGCGGCGCGACCTCGTGGAAGTAGTCTTCGAAAAAATAGAAATTGCGCCGGGCCCCCGCCAAGGGTTCGAATGAACCCTAAACCCGAAAAGGTTGAGACGTGGGAGGAGCGCAAGCGGGGGTGGGTAAAGACAACTCATGAGGGCGAGCGAAGCGAGCCCACTCGAAGCTGCAAACCCTAAACCCTAAAACCCTAAAACCCTAAACCCTAAACCAAAAAAACAAACACACAAACCAACAAACAAACCAAAGAAAAGCAAGGCAAGACAAAACAAACAAAAAACACACAAAACGACATCAAAACAACCAACCAACCAACAAAGAAAAACAAACCAAACAAACAAACAAACCAACCAAAGCGAAACAAACAAAAAGAAAACAACAAAACACAAAACAAACCAAAAAAACAAGCCCGACAAAACAAACAAACAAGCAAGCAAAAAACAAACAAAACAAAGCAACGAAACAAACCAAAAAAAAAACAAAAACAAACAAACAAAACGAAACGACAAACAAACAAACAAACGAAGGAACAAAGCAAACAAAACAAGTAAACAAACAAACAAGCAAAGCAAACAAACAAACACGCAAAATAAACACACCAAGAAACAAAGACACAAACAAACAAGCAAACAAACAAGCACAGCAGGCAAGCAAACAAGCAAACAAACAAGGAAACAAACAAAGCCAACACACAAAGAAAGCAAGAAAGAAACGAACAAACAAACAAACAAGCAACGCAAACAAGCAAGCACACAAAGAAAACCAGAAAAGAAAAGAAAAGAAAAAAAGAAAAGACAAGACAAGAAAAGAAAAGAAAAGGAAAGAAAAGAAAAGAAGAGAAGAGAAAAGAAGAGAACAGAAAAGAACAAAGCACAGCAAAGCAAACAAGCGCGCAAAGAAACAAGCCCGAACACAAACACACCCCGGCTAGCAGTAGTACTAATAGTGGTAGTAGTAGCTGTTGTTGTTGCTGTTGGTGGTTGTATTGTTGTGTGTGCCCAAGGCCGCTGGCCGGAGCCAGGGTGACCAGCGCGTCATTAGATGGTTGAAGCCCACCCACTGCACGTCTAGGCCAGGCAACCCAGATTGGTCCACTCGCACGACTGAAGGCACCCCCCCGGCGCACCCAACCCCCCTCCAGCTTCATGGTGGGGGGTTTTAGATAGCTGCCGCATGGTTCCTGGCGAGGCCGGAGACACAAGGAATCCGGCAGGTCAATCGCCATCGCGAACAACTAAATGGTGGAATGCGCTTGTCGTGTATACGGAAAACCGCTCCGGTAGAAGCCCTTGAGGCACTGCCCTGACAGCCAACAACCCAGCCACCCTCTGCGCGTGATGTTTCCTTGGGCACTGCTACTGCTGTTATGGTGTTGCTTGTGGGTAAGTAGTTAGAAGTGGTTGGTCCGCTTATGCGGACTGCGAGCCCTCCCCTCGCGGCAGGCGTAATCACATTAATTATCGTAATTGTATAAGCCCTTTAATATACACAATCCAGACGCACCAGCACAAATTTAAGCATGTCAGCCCTGCTTTGCAACACTTCTCTTGTTAAACTGTCTAGCATAAAGATGGGCTCAAAGTTTCAAGACTTTCTGCATGATGAGAATCGTGATGCAAAGATTAGGTTCAACAGGTTTTGCGACAAGGGGAATCGAACTACTTACGCGATTGGTTGGATGGTTGTTGAATGTAAAACAATTTCAATCAGACGTAGCGCGACGTGGCTTGAAGCTTTAAAGAAACTTGGCATGAGGACAGGTTCAATATTCTTTTGTGTTGAGATTGGTTTCGAAAAGACTGTAATGCAGAGGTATTAATAGGAGCTTCGTGAAGCGTTGCTTTTGAAGCAATTGTGGCCACGCCGGCCTTTGGAAGTTCAAGAGGACCGAGGTGGTCCTGGGTTTTTTCCGGGATCCTGGGCATCCGCCATGGTGGTGAGATGGCTGATGGTGGCTGCCCTCGTCGTACATGGGCGAGGGTGGTGGAACGCCTCAACGCCACCTAAGCCTTCACCAGCGAAGCCATGGTGGCGAGGCAAGGTCGAGGAATGGGTTCCGGCGGCCACGCCTTGGTTAGATGGAGCCTCAGAGACTTTCTCCAAGGTGGCCTCTTTGACGGAACCCACGGCGGAGAGCGGCTTTGACTGGAGCCTCTGGACGCTGGCTGATTTGGCGTTCAGCTTACTCGGCTGGACACTCTTCAGGAGCGCCTGGGCTGGTGTTCGAAACGGATGCAGGCGCATCTCAGTGCTGCATCCTCCTGGGATGCTGCATCATCGCCCACTACATCTGGGCGGTCTGTTGGCCGGTGGTGTCATTGGTGTGTGCGGTGATGATGACGGTGGTGTGGTTAGCTCGACGTCTCCTTCGTGCGCTTGGCGGGGTTGTTTTTGTGGTCCAACGGTTCTTGGGTGGAACGCCTGAGGCTTCGATGGTAGACTACTTCGGCCCTGGCACTGGACAACCACCCGAGACTGCTGAGCTCCGCAAGTTCAAGTATCACGCCGGCACCGACAAATGGGTGGTGCTCAAAAGGGGTGACCACACAGCCGTCTTCAAGGTGTCCAATGAGAGCCACCCGATCAGGTCCAGTGGGGTCTACATTGGCATCGAGGTCGACACACTTCGGGGAGCCCCTTCGCTGTTGCAGGAGCTAACTGGAGTGGACAAGGTGCATTTGTGCAGGAGCGAGGAGTGCAGCGAGCCCGGCTATCACTTCAAGGTGTACGGCTTGACCAAGAAGATCGACTACGAGAGCTTCAACTTCAACCAGGCGAACAAGGAGGCTATGACTTGGGGTTCGAGAGCGTGGCAGTGGGCTCTGGGCGGCTCTAAGAACCTGGCTGCGAAGGTTCGGGACTTAGGCTCCGAATCTGAACGGGATGAGGAACCATGCCAAGCTCATCGAGTCTTCTGGAGCACTGAGAAGGGAGATGAACGCTTAGCCCCGGCTCCTTGTTCGCACCAAGCTCGGGAGCGCACTACTTTGCTCAAAGAAGATCAGCTGGGGGAGCAGGACACGGTCCCATTGTGTGAAGGCCATGGTTCCCAATATATCCTGAAGCGCTTTGCCAAGAAGTGCAGTCACGCTGATTGTCGACGGCTAGGGCACACTGGCCATCAAGGGCTCATGTTGTGTTGGAACCACGAGGAGTCGGTCAAGCAGCGTCGAGTGTCCCGGTCTAGGTCGCGGGAGCCAACACGGGACCACGAGCTGGAGGACAACCTGGGCGAGGATGTGAACGAGCTCGAGGGTGACCGTGGGCTGAGATGGAGACCTTCTGCGAGCACTACATCACGGAGGAGGAGTACTTCAAGGCGCTTTGACGACGGCTTCGAGGTGGTGTCAGACGGCGTGAGAGAAGGGAGAGCGGACCACCGAGGGAGCAAGGCCAGGTCTTTGCTTCAGGAGATGAAAAGTGCCCACGATGATGGGTGGGAAGATGAGCCGGACTCGAAGCGAGTGAAAACTACTTCCAAGTCTCCGGGGAGAACACCAAAGTCATCAATTCACAGGAGCTTAGCAAAGCTGGGAATGCTTGACTCACCTGATGGGGGGCCGGAACGCAGCATACTGGAGGAGTTCTTCGAGGTCTACACCGAGGGCAAGCACGAGGGCATGACGGAAGAGAAGGCTAGGGGAGTGCTATGTGACCGCCATGGCTCAAACTTCCAAGAGATCACCAGGAAGCTGTATGGTCAAGCTTGGGAGGAACAGCAGAAGGGTCAAAAGGGGCTGTCAAAGTTCCTACAGAAGTGGCGCAAGGATGCACAAGAGGTTGCCCAGCCTGTCTTCCCTCCATCCACCCCGCAGCCATCGAGTACTTGGAGCGTGGTGTCGTCTGACCCTTCTGGCAAACCATCAATTCCCTCAAGCCCGGAGATGTCTAAGAAGGCGGGAGTGGGGGACCTCTTGGTTGGAGCTCCGAGGATCTATGGACGCGGCGCTGACCGGAAGGCAGGAGCTCGAGAAGAGACCTATGACCCCATGGCTAAGTTGACTCAAGCTATCCAAAACCAAACATCTGAGATTGCTACGTTGGTGCGAGCACAACAGGATTCAGGCCAGCACCCACCAGGTTCAGTTCGTGGATTAGGTCGACAATCCGAAGAACTGGTCTACTTGATGCGTGCGTGCGACCAGTATGACGTGAAAGTCTGCCCTGGTGATGTGGGGCTGCGCTAGCCAACTCGCTGCTCGCGGCCCAGGTAGGGGCTTCCACAAAGTTGAGGTCTTTGGGCTTCAAACAAAAGATCTCGACAAGGCTAGCTGTGGGGTTGGCAGGACCTTACTGGGGCACAACTGACAAGCATGCTTTGACGGCCGCAGACTTCGTGCAGGTGACTGATGCTGAACTTGACGCTTTCGCATCAGAGGCAAGACATCTGAAGGGGCAAGGGGAGCAGAGGCCGGCACCTCCGACCCGCCTCGACGAGTGGATTGCCCGTGTGAAACGACAGAACCAGGTGTGGGCACTCACCTATGGCATGGAATGGTTGGAGGTCAGGGAGCACGCTTTGGATCTGCTGGCAGGTTGGCATCAAGAGCTCCCCCACAAGTGGCCGCTGCAGATAGTGATGGACGCGTGGGAGGAACTCCACTGGCGTTTCATGGAAGAAATGAAAGAGGTCCTTCGTCAGTTGAAGAAGGTGGCAAAGAGGGAGTCTATGTCCCTGGCGGAGATCAGGTTCCACGCACTACTTCCTGGCCCAGAAGGACGCGCTTGGTTGGAGCTCCCACGGACCTTTGATCTACTCAACCCGGAAGGGTGGTTCAAGATGGAGCTGGAGCCTCGTATCGAAAGGAGACAGGAGCGGGCCCTCTGGCGCTTGACGTGGGGAGGCGACAAGAAGCAGACCGCAGGGTTGCACGCTGGGGGAGAAAAGGAGGCTGAAGAGGACAGTCGAGGAGGAGGAAAGCCTTCAACGAACCTCATTGGCCCGAAGCTCACCCAGGAGGAAGTGAACAAGGCACGAGATCGGGCACCTGTTGGAAAAGGGGGGGCATTACTATGTTGGGGCTATCTGACGCATGTGGGGTGCCATTCCACTACTTGCCAACGGGCCCATGAGAACCTCAAAGGATCTTTCGAAGCCTTGGATCCAGCAGTTCAGATGCAACTACTGCGTCGGGGAGGCCTTCGTCGCATGAAGCAGGAGACGGCCGAGAGTGCGAGGGACAAGATCCAGGCCCTTCGCCAAGGAGTCCAGAAGGACAAGGCCTCAAAGATCAGCAAACCGAAGCGGAAGGCGGGGGCTGACAAGGAGGATGACGGGGGAGAAAAGGCAGAGGAAGTGAAAGCAGGTGGAACCTGTACCGTCCACTTCAACGAGGTGCCGGAGGAGTTCGAGGCGATCGACTACACCAAGCAGGAGGACGTCAGGGACTTCGTTAACAGAGACGACCGATCCTGGGGACTACCAGTCCGGCATCAAGATCGCGGTTATTTCCCCTCCCAAGACTTCCAGGCGCCGGAGGAGGCCGTGAACATGGTGGACAAAGCCGAGAAGCTAGCGGCGGGCCCCGTTCTGGGAAAGTTGCAGGAGGCGTCAGATGATCTCTACGCGTGGGCATCGGCGAGGGTAGCTGCAGACGAGGAAGTTACGTTCGAGGAGCTCATGGGGGAGATGGTGGCCTACGGGGTAGCAGATCTCGCGGAGGAAGCTGCCATCATTCTTGAAAAACAAGGCGGCACGAGGGCGGGCGAGAACACCCGTCTGGTCGTGAGGGAAACTATGTGGGCCACCGGTGAACCAGGCCAAGGCTCTGTGGAGGTGGATGGGAGATCCTGGAGGAGTTGGGACTACCAGGAGGAAGTCTTCATGTCCGAAGAGCTAGCGGGGATCCTTCAGATGCCGGAGCCGGTGATAGAAAAACGGCAGTGTGTCACCAAGACCTTGGCAGCCGGTATCCTCTGGAGAGAAAAGGGAAGACGCCCTACGTTGCAGGAGGTCGAGAATAAGGCTCGGGAGTTGAGGTTGGATCAGGCTCGGCTAGCGCTGGACGCAGCCACCCAGATGGGGGAGGCGGCGGAATTTGTGACCCCAATCGAGCACGAGTTGAGGGTGTATCTTCATGACCTCCTACATCCAGCCCACGAACGTGACTTCCGGAGCCTAGCGGTTTTCCCTATCATGGAGCTCGGGGCGGCCAAAGTGGTGGTGATGAGAGCGGATTTCCAAGGGAACTTGCTCGTGGAGACCATTGTGGGTCCGGATTGGGAAGATGGAGGCTGGATAGTGTGGACCTTGATTTGGAAAGGGCACATGGTGCTGTTGCAGCCACCAGCTGACTTCGATGGGATGGCATGGTTGGCGGTGGAGGAACGTCAAAGTACCCCGGTCCTTGGCTTCAATTTCTACTGGCATGCCCGCCATGATCAACCTGTGAGTGCCCCAGGACGAGTAGCTTGCCGGCTATGCCGCCCACCACGTCGAGCAGGAGAGACCTCACTCGGGTCAGGCTTGATCCGCCAGCATAGCACTTTGGCTGCAGTGGCCACATCCTATGCCAACATGTGCGGGTCCGGGGTTGCGGGTTCGACCACCCACCAACGAGCTGTACGAGCAGCCGATGGGGCACCAAAACTGCTCTTCAGGGAGATCTTCGCAGGGACAGCGGGCATGACAAAGGAATGGGTTAGCCAAGGTGGTGAAGCTTCGCCTCCGGTGGAGGTCTTCGCTGACCCACACAATCGAGTTGGCTACCAGCCTCAGCATGACATCACTGACCCGTTGGTTCGTGGGCTCCATCTGCGACGGGCGGTTTCTGGCCCCGAAAACGTGTTCTGGATAGCCTCGCCGTGCACTACGTTCTGTGATTGGCAACTTCAAAATGGAGGCGCACGCACTTTTGCTCAGCCTCAAGGTGGCGGTCGAGGGCCCATTTTGGAGAAGGAGGTCGAGGGCAACGTCTTTGCGGACTTTGCGGCGGAGCTCTTCGTCAAAGCCTTGGACAATGGCGCCTTCCCCTTGGCGGAGTCCAGTGGGCCTAGTGGTCGGTACCCCAAGATGTGGGATTTACCTTCTTGGCAGGCCATTCTGAAGAGGCCGGATGTGGCTTCTGCTGTCTTCCCTATGTGCGCTTTTGGGTTGGGACCGCCTGATGAACCTTCGGCCTTTTACCGGCACTATACGAGGGTGGTTTTTCCATCCCATGGCCCTCTCGCTCACCTTCTACATCGTGTGTGCCCAGGGATCTCCTCAAATCACAGGCATGTGCCCCTGAAGGGCTGTCGTCCGGGCGTCTCGGTTACCCGGTGCACGGAAGCAGGAGCTTACCCGGCGGACTTCATCAAACAAATCGTGCAGACCCTGCAGGCCTCTCTGACAGTTCTTTCAGCTGGGGGGGGGTATGGGTGGCCACCACAGAGTCGAGCAGGAGGCGATGTCGACGGGGGGGGGTCAACTCCGCAGTCGATGAGGAGGTGCCGGAAGGAGACTACACCCACGGGGAAGGTCCCAATGGTGATGAGGGCCCACGGGCGGAGACCTATGTCAGGGAGAACCAGACTGAGGGGGAGATTGTGGACAACTATGTCGGGGAGAACCAGACGGACCAGGAGAGTGTGCACGATGAGGGTGGCAACGCTCGAGGATGCGGAGCCTCAGCGGGGGCTTCAGACCCGTTGGAGGAACCTGTCAGCTCCCCATTTGAGTTTGGCTCGGAAGCGGAGGAGGCAGTAGAGGAACCATCAAGCTCGCCCTTTGAGTTTAGCCCCCAGGAGGTGAATGACGAACCGAGCGGAGTTTGGGCAAGCCCGGAGGGAACTAGGAACCTGGACAGGGGCAGACCGATTGACATGCTTATGGGACCCCCAGGGGCGGCTTCTATCATTCTGCCCGATGAGTGGGTCGAGAGAGATGGACTCATTGTGGGAACCACTACTGCCGGCAGGGGAGACGAGCCTAGACCTTCTCGCCGAACGTCTCCAGTCACTGTGGTCGAGCCGGATGAGTGGCAGGTGGACCGAGCCTCAGGGACAGTCACGGTCACACACCGACAACCACGGAGAAGCTTGTTCGTGCCGGGGCTTCTGGGTAACAACTTCCCGGGAGTCGCCTACCGAAACGAGCGGCTCACCAGGGCTTGGCCCGTGTCGAGACCAGGGCCTGAACAGTCGGGCCCCCCCATTTGCTTGTGTGACAACTGGAGGATAGTGCAGGCGCGGGAGTTGGACATTGGCCTTTGGACGGGTACCACCACTCTGGTTTTTCAGGGCTATGGGCTACCTTGGCTGATGGATGCAGATAACGATCCAGGAGGAGCGGGACCCCATGAAGACGGTGAGTCAGAGGAGGACATCGACGACTCCACGGAGTATGAGGACGCTTCTCTCCCAAGATCGCGGTCGAGATCCAGAACGCGGACGCCATCCCAGGGGCGAGCAGGAGCCGATCGTGACGGTGAGGGGAAGGGACCAGGAACTTCAGGGGAGAGTGAAACCGTGTTGCACCCCGAGGCGATTGACTACCTCAACACGATCAACGGCCTCGACCAGCCCACCAAGCAAGGATGGGAACGTGTCTTGGATGCAGGAGACGCTCTACTTGGGGCAGCTGGCGGAGTTCAAGAAGCGGCTCAGTGGCTATGGGACGCACGAGCAACCCATGGGCTGGCAAATCTGAGAGGAGTCGAGGACCCGTGCCTGGATAAGATCTTACACCCCGACCTTCTGGCCTACCTGAGACATGTGAAGAGGCATGGCATGGAGGCCCGACACGTGGGGCCTCGTGAGCGGGCGATGGCAGGGCTGCATCCGAATGCAAAACGGAACCTGGAGCAGGTCTATGCCCAGATCTGGAAAGACGTCAAGAAACATCGGGTGTTGTTGCAAGCCAGGATCATCCCAAACTGGGCAACACTATGGCTTCCCCTTTCGAAGCTGTCCCAAAACTTCTACCAGACCGCTCAGTGTCGAACGAGGTGAGGGTGGTGCATGACCAGCGACCTGTCAACCAGGGCACGCATAAGGACTTCCACCCGCCGGCGCTGCAGCCCACACATGACCAGATTGCTAGAAGGGTCCTGTTCTTGAAGCATCGCTACCCAGGATGCCAGGTCCACATCGCCAAGAAGGACATCTCTGGGGCCTTCCGCTTGCTTTGGGTGGCTCCCGCTGATGTGGAGCTCTTCGCGGGTGACCTCCCTTGGAAGGATGCGGCAATGCCAGATGAGGAGGGCTACAGCGGAGAGGTTCGTGGACGCCCACTCACCGTGCTCTACCTCGTGTCCTCTTTTGGTTTCTCAGGTTCTCCGGGGGAATGGACTCCGTGGGGAAGAGCAACGGAGGAATTCCATAGAGCGCATCGACCTGGACTACCTCGCAGAGACGGAGCATTGGGTTTTGACTGCAAGATCCTGGTCGACGATGCGGTGTTGGTTGAACCACTCTTGGGCTTGAGACCTTGGGTCTCAGCTGCCTGTTATGAGACAGGCGTCAGACAGATGCTGGGAAAGGAGGCTGTGAACCAGGAGAAGGACGCCATCGAGGGACAGTTCAAGGAGGAGCAGGTGATCTGGGGACTGACTATGAACGCGGCTTCGGAGAAAGCTTTCTTGCCAGAGCGGAGGATCCTCAGAGGGTCGTATCTGTTGGGGGATAGTGCCTTCGACGCGGGGGAGAAGTGTGTGACGGTCCGCCAGGTCCAGCAGTTCAGGGGCATCACGACTGGTTGGGCGATTGTGGTGAGGGGCCTGGCGAATGAGCTCAAGGCGGCGGACATTTTTCTCTCCAACGATGAAGGGGGACTTCCAGCTCGGCCTCGAAAACTGGGCTACAAGAATGAACGCTTGGAGGTGGAGGATGCCTGGGAGGACCTTTGGAGCCTGTTTGAGGTTTGCAGATGGCTGTGCGCCAGATCCGACAGGTGGGAGACGCGTTTTGGCACCACCTTGAAGGAGCTCCTCCCTGTGAAGGAACGTTTGAGCCTCCCGAATGAGTGGAAGGAAACTGTTTGGGTATCCTCGGATGCTACTACTCAGGTGATTGGGGCCATCGACTGGACCTTTAGGGCAGCCGCTAGGGCAACAGTCACGGAGCTAGAGCCATGGCTGATGGGGGTAGCAGAACAAGAGATGCAGGAGGACGGTGACATGAGGGTTCACATCTCGGAGATGCTCTCGCTAGTGGCCTTTGTGTGTGAGCGTGGGCCTCTTTGGAAGGGGAAGGTGGTGCTTTACGCCGGGGACAACTCCACGGTTAGGCAGTGGGTCTGCAAACGTCAAAGTGGGTCACGGGCGGGCCGACTACTAGTCCGAGTCCTGAACCTGTGCGAGATGAACTACGGGTTCACCCTGGTGGGGGGCTGGTGGAGGACCTTCCACAACGTCGACTCCGATTACATCACCAGGTGCAATGCGCAAGAGTTCGAGGAGATGCTCGTGAAGAAGGGTTGGGAGAAGGTCGAGCTGGGCCCGGCTATCTCCAAGGCCATTGAGGACACCGCACGGTTTGGACCCTGCTTCCTGTCCTGGCAGGACCCGGAGGACCGACAGGTGATGCTGCAGCTGAAGGAGAAGAGGCTCAAGCGTTTTGTCGACAAGCCCTTGGGCATTCCCTGGGAAAAACTCAGAGTTATTGAGCTAGCCAGTGATGACCGATGGCTGAAAGATTTTGAGAGTTTGGCCCCTGACGGACATTCCAAGATCGGAAGAACCCGAGTCGTCATCGTCGCCACCTTGCCGGTCGATGAGAAAGGGATCCTGGTGGACAAGTTCATCAAGGAGGTCTCTCGGTTGCGACCCTATGTGGCGATCTGGGAGGGGCCAAGGTGCGCCCCCTGGGAGAAGGCACTTGAAGGGTTCCGGGCCAACGGTTTGGGTGGTGTGACGTTTGAGTTCGTATCCACAGAGCTGGGGGAGTACCTTGCACGCAGAAGGCAATGCCTGGTAGGGGCGCGCTTCGACCTGACGGAGGACATCGTGAAGAGGTGTTTGGTGAAGACAGTGACTGCTCCGCCTTTGGGGGCAGCCGTGGGGAGAGCCAATCAGAGCGAGGACTTGGTTTGGAGAAAGCCTTTCAAGATGGTCATTGAGCCGGGCATCCCACGGGCGCCGCTGCTGCCGCAGGTGGTGGGTCATGTTTGGGAGTCACCTGAAGGTGAACGAAAGAACGTGCATGGGCTTGCAGGTCCAGGGCGCTGGCCGCTGAGGTACAACGACGGGGAGTTCGAGGTGCTGGAGGTCTTTGATCGTCGGGGGCGACCGGGCCATCTTCGAGTACTTCAACCACTTGAGGTTTGGCAATGTCAGGGGAGATCCTGTGAAGCGTGGGACGAGCTCCTTCACCAGGGGAAAACGGTGAAGGAGATAGCGAACCAGGGCAACAGGGCGACGGGACTTCAAGTGGCATCTAACCTCTTGGTGATGGCTGGAGCTCTGGTCGAGTTCGGGGAGATCCTCGAAGATGATCGCAATGCAGGGGCATTGGGCTGTGAGCCGTATGATTTGTCCATGGCCAAACTTCTGGCATGGCTGCGAAAGTGGAAATGGCGCCATTTTGGTGCAGGTGATCTTCACGGAGGTGATGGGCGCGCCGGAGGGGACATCCACAAACGCATGGTTTCAAGAGCGGGGGGGCTTTATGGGTTTGGTGCCTTGAGATTGAGTCCGAGGAGAACCGCGACGAGGATGAGACCGTGGAGACCTTCAGGGACACCTCAGCGGGGGGGAGACGACCCAAGTTGACGAAGCCGGCTCATCTACCTGCTGGGCAACATGTGTTGCTAGAGCCAAGGAAGGTGCCTTTTGATGGGGCAATCCAAACACAGGTGGAGGAGTGGCTCGAGGAGAACATTGCAGGTAGCAAAGCTACGAGTACCCTGAGAATGTACAGGTCGGCATGGGAGAAATGGGAGGCCTGGGCAACCCGCCAAAGATGGCCTTCATGCTACCTCGACGTGAAGGGCGACAAGCTCGTGAATGAGGACAAGCTCTTGGCGTTCCTCGGCTATTTGGGCTGGCTTGGTTCCACGGCGGCCTCCATCAAGCAGGCTTTGTTCGCGGTGAAGGACGGTCACAAGCGTGGAGGAGCAGGCGACCCGACCGAAGGCATGTTCAGGGTGTGGATGCTGGTCACGTCACTAGATCGACATGCTAAACGAAAGCCAAGGAGACTGGGGGTGACACCAGGCATGCTGTTGTGGATTGGCAGGAGCCTGTGCAACAGCGACTTGTTCGGAGAGGACCAGGTTGACAAGGCAATGGTGCAGGCCGCGCTTTTGGTGGCTTGGTTCTTCATGCTCCGAGCCAAGGAGTACTGTGACTCAGGGGGAGTGGATGCACACATGATCCTCCGAGGCATGGACGTCCGACTCACTAAGGACGGCTGTGATGTGAAGACAGGAGCAAATGAGGTGACCATTCAGTTCCGTAAAACAAAGGCTGATCAGGAGGCCTTCGGGTCGTGCAAAACTATGGGGGCCACAGGTGAACTTCATCTATGTCCAGTGCACGCTCTTGAAGAGCTCCGAGAAGTGGCTCAAAGACGGTTCTCTCCAGGACCTGAAGCTCACCTACCTCTGTTCCGGTGGGGCAATGGGGCGACCCTTCGTCGAACAGAAGTACAAGCAGTACTCCAGAAAGCAGCAAGAGCGGAAGGGCTGCCTGAAGATCGCTTCATGAGCCACAGCCTTCGAATCGGAGGAGCAAGTGCCCTGTTCCAGGCTTCAGGAGAGATTGAGTTGGTCAAGAGAATGGGAAGGTGGAGCAGCTCCGCGGTGCAAAGGTACCTCTACGACGGGGGCGAAGTGCTGAAGGAGTTGTCAGGCCGGATGGCCAGGGTCGACAAGAGGATCCACTATACGTAGTGGACTTTTTTGGTCCTGCGCTGGCTTTGTGGGGGGTTGTGGCCGATGCCATGATCGAAGAGACCCGCAATGCCGCCAAA